TAGTCCTGCCCAAGAAGAAGTGGTCAGCATCCCACTTGCTGAGGACAAGTGCTTGGTGGGTAGGAGGCCCTGTGAAGTCGCAGAAGTCTGTGCGAGGTGGTCGAAGTTGGCAGTGTCCCGGGGGCATCACTACCATGAACAGCAGAGATGAGGGCAGCCCAGATGAGCCACCTGGGGATGAAGGCAAAAAGGCTCCAGCCTGGGTTGATTCGCTTTGGCGCTCGAGTGACTGGGGACTCGAGCCCGGGCGACCTAGTCAATCTGTGCGGCGCTTCTTGCTAAGCAAGGCCTCAATGTTGCTGAAGCCTGCCGACATCTCTCTGCGGATCTCAGTGTTGTGGTCGCTGACAGACTTGTTGAGGTTGCTCAATTCGGCCTGCTGGGTGTGGACCTCCTTGGCAATTGCGTTGATCTGATGGTTTGTGGCTGCGTTGGCCTCTGCTGCTTCACCAAACCACTGCTCAAACTTGTAGTTTTGCTGTCGAATTTCGGCAACGCTGGACTCGAGGTGCTGAAATCTGGATTCGAATTTATGGGTATCATCAACCATGGTCTGGTCCTCGTCCCAAGAGCTCGGGGGTTGCCATTGGTCAAGCTGCTTTTGAAGCGAGGCAGTGACGTCGGCCTTGATTCGTTCTTCGGCTTGTTGAAGTCGATCTGCTGCTGGTTTGGAGCTGGTGGCTTGTCCTTCGGCAGGGTTGGTGGAACCATTGAGACCACGGATCTTGTCCTGCTTGCCAGGGATCATGCGTAGCCTTGACGGGCTCATGGTGGCTGCGCGGGTATTTCTGAGTGCGGTCAAAGGCGACCAGGGCGGGACTGACGGTCTCAGGCTTGAGCGAGCGCAGCTTGGTGACCCTTGGAGAATGTCGGATGGTGGGGGAGTTTCAGCACCAACCTCCCATCCGATGCCATGCTGGTCTCCTTTGCAGGGTTGCAGTGGCTTGGCCTTCCACTTCCAGGCTGCGAGGGATTTGGCGAGGCCCTGGCGCTGTGTGCCGTGTGGGAGTGGAAAGACCTTGTAGATGTCAACGACCTTGATCTGCAGATAGGGCTCATCCGGCCGGAGAGCTTGGTGTGCTTAAGGAAGTCGATCCGTAGGGAATCGCAATCCAAAGCGGTCGTTGAGTCGAGCGATGGAGGTAGATCCCTCCGTGGTGCGGTGCTTGTATAGTATGGAGGTAAGCGTGGCTCCTGGAAGCCAAACTACTCCAAACTGGTCGTCCGGGTAGCGCCCTGTGGAGTCCCTTGGGTCGATGAAGAGACCATCAGAGCTGGAGAGGTTGATGAGGTTGTTGAAGGCGACCTTGGGGATCCTGACCAGAGCAGTCCAGCAGTTGGCCTTTTCTCGGCGCACTCGAGCTTCTTGGGCGTTGACCCATTGTCTGCCCCAAATGTCGAGGATGACGTTGGTGATGTGATCCTCGTCGACAGGAGGATGGAATTTGGGACATGTGTCTCCACACCCAGCAGAACGGCACAGGGTCATGACCGGGAAGGAGAGCATAACCTGCTTCATCGGGCCGTCTCCAAAGGTTGACCACTGTCCAGGCCATTGGTCCTGGTAGACGGCCAGCTTGATCGTGCACGTGTCGATCGGTGCGACGTCTGGGAGTTTGTTGCGGACAGGACGTGTGACAAGAACTTGGCCGAGCTGAATGAGGCTGCCATGGATCAGGATCGGTTCCTGGGTTGTGGTGTGCTTGGCCGGATACATAAGGTCATCAACTGGCAGCTGTCCTCGAAGGGCGTGTGGAATGCATGTTGTTGTGAGGATGGCAAGCGCGCCGGTGCTGAGTTGGACGCCCTCCTTAAGGTAGGGTGCTGCTTCCCCAACGGTGGCAAATGCGAGGCCGGCGCTGCCTTTGCCAAGGTTGTGAATGGGAAGAGAGCCGATTGGAATGCCATCCTCGCTTGTGAATGTGCCGGGTACGAGCTGAAGCTCAGTGGGTGCGACCTGACAGTCGGGCTTGTTGGCTGATGAGTTGGTAGGTTTGCCCTTGTCTTTCTTCCTGTTGGACTGGCTGATGCCGTACTGGGTGGCAGCTTTTAGCTGGATTTTCTGCTGGAGCTCTTGAGATCTGAGCCATTGAAAGGGGCTGCTTGGCTTAGAGCCGAGTGCTTTGAGAGCGCTCCATGCGTGTTTGGAGGCGAGTGCTTCAGCAATGTGACTGGCTCCGAGCTTTTTGAGGGCGTGCTTGCATTTTTCGTCGACACAATCTGCCGGCACGCCTTTGTCGATGAGAATGGTCCTGAGCTGTTTGAGGATGTCATCCTCATTGTGAGGGCCTGTTGCTGTGTGCTGGTGTGACAGGAGGTGGTCGTCAGTTGCAAGGTGGTTGTGCCAGGTACTTATGTCGCTGGTGCTACAGGTGGGCCAGAGGTCAAGGATGGCACCAAGATTCGCCAGGGCAATTGTGCCACAGGAGTAGTTGTCGTGCTGGTGGTAGTATGTGTGGGTAAAGATGCCTTCGCATTGCTTGTTCCACTGGTCGGCAATGGACTTGGCCAGAAAGTGTCCTCCAGCATGCGCCCTGTGTGGGATCCCATCGAAGATCGAGGCGATGAAGCCAGTTTCAGTAGGCTCAGTGACAAGTAGCGCCCAGTGGCCGTCATAGGCAAAGATGATGGTGGCGAGTGTGTTGGGGTCATACTCTGCAAGCGCAATGAGTGCCTGGGGTGCTAAAGCGAGGCCTTTGTCGACATGGCCGTTGATGAGGATGGGTGCTGGACACTGGTATGGTTGCCCGCCAACTTCGCCGTGGATGCGGGCTATGCGGAGGAGCTCTTTGCTGATCTGTTGGTCGCTGAGTCCAAGTTCAGTGGAGCCTCTGGCAATGAAGGGGCATCTGCAGACAATAGAATTGAGCCACAGTCGGAGGTCAAGGCGAAGAGGATCTCCCCTGAGATCGACCGGGGGAGTGTCGACAGGGTGGATATGTGCAAGGTGACAGGCCTGGAACAGGAAGATTCCAGCTTGGAATGTGGCAGTCGTAGTAGTTGCTCCAACGTCTTGGGTGCTTGGTGAGGGGTAGGTCGTAGATGGGGAACACAGCGTGTATGGTCCGTGAAGTCCTTGGTCCTGTAGTACAGCATCTGTCGGGACTGGCCGGTGTCCCAGAGCTGGAGTTGTTGAGGTAGCGCAGCAAGACAGGCTTCAGCCTGAAGGAGTTCACCTACGGTCTGATGCCCTTCTCGAAGGAGATGGATGTTGGTTCCATCGCTGTGCTGGATCCAGACATGACGGGTAGCATGGGAGTTGTTGGTGACCCAGTGGTGGTACCTCTGCCAGAGGAGGTCCTGCTTGGCTTTCTTAGTGAGCTCAAGTGGTTGGCAAAGGGGCACCCGAAGTGGGTTTGTACGGCTCGCACGAGATGAAGACATACCCATTGTGCTTGCAGTGGAGCAGCAACTTGACCGATGAGTGCCAGACCAGCTCGTGCATCGCCTGGGAATTTGTACGTCACTGGGATGGTGCAGAGGATTGCTGCCTCTGACGTGTGAAGAAAGCGTGGCTTTCCAGTGACCTGCGAGATGATGTAGCAGCCTCGTACACCTCCACGTTGGAGGCGCTCCAGGCTGAAGGCGGCTTGCCTACATCCACATGGGCATTTGCGAAGAACGTTGCCGTAGGAGTGCAGCAGAGTAGGGCATGTGCCGGTTTGTTGTAGCAGTCGTTCTTCTTGGCCGAAGTTGAGGTCGGTGTAGTAGTTGATCTCTTCCTGATCAAGTTGGAGGAGCTGCTCTTCCTGAGGTTCCCACAACGGCCAGTCAGGGATGATGTGTTGGATGGTGCTGTAGCTGGTGTCCTTGGGCCAGGCCTCAAAGGCTGTCAAGTCAAACTCCTGCGGGGCGAGGATGGCCCACCATCTGACTCGATTGCATGGCCATTGATCCTGAAGAGACAGCACGATCGTCTTCACCTGGTAGTGCATGAGGTCCGCCAGGTAGTTGAGGTTCTCCCTGATGAAGCTGTGGCTCTGGACTCCCGGGACACATTCAAGAATGAGTGAAGATGCCTGCGTGAGCCAGGCTGCCTGCAAGGTGGCTAAGAAGACCAGAGCACGAGGGTCGTTCTGCCCTCTCTGGTCTCCTTGGGAGCTGTAGGGCTGGCATGGGAATCCAGCTCCAAGTATGGTGCGTCGATGCTCGCTGGCCTCGTGAAGCTTTGCGATGTCCTGAGTCTGGCGCAGGTCGCCCTGGATCACATTGGTGGCGCCGTTCAGCTTGAGGGCGTCGCATGCCAGCTTGCACTTGTCCAAGTAGGCTACTGGCTTGATGCCAGCTTGAGAGGCTCCTAATCCAAGGCCTCCCATTCCGGAGCAAACCTCCTTGATGTGCTGGAAGTTCTCGATGCTGAGGGGTTCATGTGCAAACCATTTTGAGTGCTCCAGGGGCAGCACATATGCTGAGCCATCTGACGACTGGCTAGCCACAAAGTTGTACACAGTGATGAGCTGCCCGCTTGGGAAGGTGTTGGGCAACCAAACGGACCTGCCGACGGACTTCTCGAACGCCAGGACGAAGGTGCCCTTGTGCACGTCGCTGATGTAGAGCACCCAGGTGAAGGCACCCTCCAAGGGCACGAGGTTCACGATCCAGTTCGGAGGCATGGCAAACCAGCACCCGAGCTTCGGTTGGAAGCAAGTCTACCACTGGCAGGTCTCGGGCCGAGACTTCCGGTTCCCCCCAACAAAGTGAAGGCTTGCTTCTCAAAATGGGACCATGTATGAAGCAGGAGTTTATTCACCAGCTCACAGGAACAAAGGAAAGCTGGGCAAGTGAGGCTTGTGACACTCGAAACACAATGCGGCAAGGTCGTTGTCCTCCTCAATTTGTTTCCATGTTTCCTACCAGATCTCGAGGATCTCGAAGGTTACTCGAGGTCCAGATTCCCCCAGTTGAGTGCCATCAAAACAAGCTGTTTCCAAGAAATAGTTTTCCCCCTCTAAACAAACTGTGCAACAAACTCATGGAAGCACTGTCCCAGCGGCGCAGGCCTTGCAAGTCCACCAGCGCGCCCAGGACCGTTCCCACCGGCACAGCCCGCACCTCATTGAGCCGCCGAAAAAGAAAGACTGCCGTTGCTTCAACTATTCAACATAAAGCTGTTTGGAAACTTCCCTTTCGCCGTCCTTTTGCGACCCTCTGCTGGGGCAAAGAAAGCATGAACAGATCGCTTTTTGCAGCCCTCTCGCGTATTACTTCGCTGTCTTTGCAGCCCTTTCGCGTTCCAATCGTCGGGCTTTCGCGCTCTGCTTGTTTCCTTGCGTGGTAGACACCCTTTACACAATTGCAGGCCAGAATGTTCACTGCGGCTGTTGCCCCCCGTGCCAACCAGTCTCGCGAGTTTGAAAATGCGGATTGATAGTCCCAACAAACTGAGAAGTTTTGGTCTAAGATGTTCAAGATTCAAAGAGCCTGCAGGATTCAAGAGACGCAGTACCCCTTTCGCACTAACTAATGAAGGCTCCGACATGTGGGCTGAAGATCATGTTCGGCAGATGGTCCCGCGGAAAAAAAGAACAATGCAACCATGAATAAAATGGTTGCACCTCTGCAAACGCAGTCAACTTCTCCAAGGGTTCGCCACGTGCCGTCATTTTGGCAGGGATCTACACGAAGCGCGGCAAAGCATTCGGGGCGCCACCCGAGCCCCAGAAAGGAAGCTTCACGGCTTCGCTTGGTGTCTCAAGGTGCTTGGCAACATGGAAGGGTTTATGGCACATCTCGCGCAGTTTGTGGTTGCCCATTCGCACGAGCAACGGGCACCCTGTTCGGTTTCTTCCGGGAAACAGCTGGCCCAGCCAAAAAACCGAAAACATCCGACCCGCCCCACTTCAGCCAGGCGTCAGCGCCACGGGCAAGCCGCTTCCAAAGGGCCTGCAAGAAAGAAAACTACACCAGGTTGGGACAGGGGCGCACGTGGTAGTATTGAATATTTATTTGCCGTGATACTGCAATGCAGAAATGGCCATGACCATGTTTGCTTTATCACTTCCAACGGGATTACAGTGATATCATTGGTGTCACAGAACTTGGCCAAGCGCCCAAGAGGGGGTACCTCAACAAAGGGCCCCTATAGGTGGCTTCAGCAAAGGGATGACCAAACCATACCCAGGAATTGTGCCGTCTACGTTCACCCAAAAGTACATGACATGACATGGTTGACCTCAAATGGATAGTTTCCTATTTTTCGCTCCTTTCACACCTCACCAAGGTCCCCCCCCCCCCCCGACCCCCCCACCCCCTCACCCGGTGGCCTGCAGGGCTTTCTCGAGCCTGGGCTGCGCAGCTTCCGCCGAGTGCAAGCCCCCCGCTGCCAGCAGCACCGCGGCCTGGACCGCCTCCTGTCAGCTGCCCGCGTGCAGAGCCAGGGTGGGACTCGACCGGTGTAAGTTTCCCATTGGATTCTGAAGGAAAGCCCAAAAGGCAACCAACTATTTCGGAGAAATGGCCTGGTGGGCTGATGGTCCTGATTTTGGAGCCAAGGGAAGCCAGGAAGACCACTAAGTGGGGCCATTCTTGGATCTCAAAATTCAATGGGAAGTGTATCCGCATGTGTTCAGGCTCACTTACAGGTCTGACTAAAGGGCAAAGCTAGTAGGTGATTTGGATTGGCGCGCTGGGTCATCTTCCCATTTGGGTTCCCTTGGGAACCTCACCAACCTAGACCAATTAGGGGTAAGATGAGTGGCAGGAAGACGGCGAATGATCACACCCAAGGAAGATGCAATTTAAAATGGCACAGCGGCATAGGATGTGCTGACAACCTCAAAAAGCATGAGGTTAAGAAGGAAGCGTACAGATTCTGGTTACCTTCAATTGATGGTTTGGCTTGGCGGGGAGCCACTGGATTTTCCCCTTCGCTTATTTGCCTAAAGGACCTGGCAATAGAAAGTTAACCTTTTCAGCCCATGACTAAAAATAGACAAACATAGGAAAAGCAGAAGGTCAAAAGGCCGGCTTTGGACAATTGAGTTTAGACCAGGTTCTGATTCCTGTAGCATTTGCTCGAGATTTGCAGGTCACTCACGCACGCACTTGTTTCAACGGGCTGGCGCGGTTCACAAGCTGCCCTCGCGGTCAGCTCCATTGGGGAGGCCCAAAAGCATACCAATCTCAAATATGTGCGCGCTAAGCCTTGGGTAGCTTCGTTACAGCTTGCCATTGCCTTTTTGCCAAAGGGCTGCTGGGGCGACCCTTGTATGACCTCATGATCTTCAGCAAGCAGCATGCCGGGACCAGTCTCTCAGAAAGACCAAGAAACGAAACGTGAACCCATTTCTGGTAGGGATCATGAGTTCACAACCCCAATAGCCCAAGATAGACTGGGCCGGTAACTTTGGGGCATTGAAGCCCTAAAAGGGAGGGCCTTCGTAAAAAACCAAAGCAGCCCCGCTTCCTGTTGCAAGTCGTGGCCGAAGATACTGGCCACCAGACAGATCTTCCTGAGGAGCTTCCAGAGGGGGTAGACCACCGCTGCGGGCAAACCTGGGCGGGGCGTACCCTACCCTGATCCGGTGGAGTCGACGTGTTTGGTGAGTGGGGGTCATGCTCCTATGCGCTTCATAAACGTGCAACCCTCCTCCCCTACAAAGAGCACGGATGGTATGGCCCGAGCCTTTAGGCACATTCTGACATCCTTGGAGCTGTTGTCGAGTTTCGTGCGCTTTCGTTTTTGCCAGCCCCTGACACCTTGATGTGTTGGCGAGCATGCCTTCACTTTCCCACAAGGCACCGGACACTCCATGAGCCACAGTTTCTGCTCCCCAGGACGCCGAAAGGGATGCCTCTCAAGGGGACGAAGCCTGCACAGCTTGTAGGTGGTTTATCCCAGTATTCGTAGGGATTCTTTCATTCCAATTGTCCATGCGCAGCATGGGTGCTCTTGGGGGTCCCTCTGTTAATTATCAGTGTGATAGTTCACCTTATTGACTTTAGGCCTTGGGCGAAGTTTGTTGCAACAGCCCTTGAGCTTGAGCTACGCAAGGGAGCAACAGAGCTGACAGGATCCCTGCAAACCTCGCCACAGACGTGCCGTCCCGGCAACTTTCAACCCGCAAAGGGCGGTTTCCCAAACCAAGGGAGAAGCGCATTCGAGTTTTTTCTTGGTGGCCATGCTTGGGTTCCAGTGGCCGAGCTCCCTTCCCAACTGCGGCCGCCAAAACAAAACGTCACACGTGACCAAAACAGTGCAGAAATCGAAAAAGTGGATCAGGTGAAACAAAAGGTGGGCATGAAACACGAGCGGAACAGTTTACTTTGGCGGCATACTAAGGACGTGCGCGCACGACCGCTCGACCGCTTCGTGCTTCCCAGGCAGCCAAAGTATGGCACCAGCCGCAGCAAGAATTCCTGAAGCCAAAGCAGACCCGTCGCATGCTGGGAACCCCTGTCGAAACTATACAGACAGCTAGTGCCTGGACTGCCCTAGCGGGGAAGGGGGCAGGGTTTAGCTCTACATGGAATTTCAGAGTGAGGGCCCCTGAGTTGTTTATTTGTTTGAGGGTGGGCAACCCCTGCCAAGAACTGACGGTTGCTCTTTTCAGAAGACATGCCCCGGTTTGGAATCCCTCAGGTCCGGACGGTCATCTAGGGTTTCCGAAGCAAACATCTACATCTCTCAAGGGCTACAGACCCCATGACACATAACCTTCCTCCTCAGTCATCGCATGTACCCTGCAAACACATTTGCAACTAGCCTAGCCATCGAATCTCGATGGGTGCAACATGATATACAAAGCCCTAAATCCTAAAACGCCTTGCCGCCTTGCCCACCCATGCGCGACCTAGGAGATTGGGAGCCTGAAGCCCCCGACTCGCTTGGGGCCCCATGAAAGCTGATCTTTTCAGGGGTCCAGGGCCTAGAAGCTACCACGCCTTCGCCGCGGCTGCAAAGGGTGGTATGCAAGTCAGCTCTGCAGCCGCAGCGAAGAACACAAACCGCGGGGCGCAATGTTGCGATGGAATCCCGCATATGTCAAAGATCTGACCGCTAGAAAGGCTTAAGTATTGCAAACTCCCTCGAGCACCTTCACGAATGCCTACACAATTGCAAAACAAGAACGAAGACAAAAGAAGCAAACCCTTGATACTTGGCAAACAGCAGTGAGCCATGTACGCAAGAAGTTTAGACACTAAAGTCCACGCACAGAAGCCTACCCGAGCCCAGGCCGCAAATGCAGCTTGAATCGCAAGTTTACGCTTAATTGAATACCTCTTTGTGTTCTTTTGAGAGACATCCTCTCAAACACCAGAAAAGGAAACCTGGGTAGACGCTTCTTAAGACATCTCCAACCAAGCAACCAAACCAACCAAGCAGCCAACCAGCCAACATAACAAACAGGCCGACAACAAGCAGCACACACGAGCACACAACAAACAAACAAAACAAAATAACAAACAAGCAAACAAACCAACACACACACACACAACAAGCAAACAAAGCAAACCAAACAAAACAAACAAAGCAACAACAAGGCAAACAACATAGGATAAGCCCCGCCGCCCCTTCCAGCCCGCCTTCACCTCCTCGGTGGTATCCTCCTCCAGCGCCAGCTGCGCCGCCGCCTCCTGGTCCCCCCGCGCGCGCCGCAGCTCCGCGTTCCTGGCGAAAGCCGAGAAGCGCCAAGGGGCCTCGGAGAAGCTGAGGCGCTCCAAGGCACTCAGGGCATTCCAAAAGCCACACAATGCGACGCAACACATCTGGGGCTTATGCATTTTTGTGGAAAAACAAAGTAAGAAGGAATCCGGGAAGAGCTGAGGTCATGGGCGGCGGCGAAAAGGGGCACTTGTTGAGTGTGAAAGGCTGCAGAGATTTCACCTGGGGACAGGGGCAGGGCACTGCATCGTGGGCAGGGCACTGCATCGTTTGCAGCGCCGCAATTGCAGAATTGACCAAACCAAGTGGCTTTGCACCACTGGGAACCACATAAGAGGAGGCACTGGCGCGGCAGCTCTTTGCAAAAGCACAGCCCGCGCTTGAAAAACACAGCTGTTTGTCGCTTAAAGAGGCTGATGTTTGTTTGCTTTCTGGGTTGGTTGAAGTGGCCCCAGGAACAAGAAACCAAACTGTTGCCAGTTCGTGGAGACTGCCTTTCTCACGAGCCTGCTGCGGACAACTCCTCGCAGGCCCTAAACCCTAAACAGGCGGCAAAGCGTGCGTCCAGGCATGTGGAACGGGCGCAGGTTGACATGAGTGCGCCATAACTCCACCCTCATGCTGTGCCCAGAGTGATTCAATTCGAAGGGGCTTTCACTTGTCAAACAGACACACAAACACAACAAAACAACACACACAAATAAACAAACAGCTTCAAAGTTTAGCTTTGGGCACCTCGGCGTCGCGCTGCCCCTGACAGTCCCCCGTGTCCTGCGTGCCGCAGTTGACCGCACCGCGCGAGGGTAGCCATTGGCCGCCAGAAGCAGCAGCGCCTGTGGGAGGGAAAAGAGCAAAACGCATACTTTGTTCCTTCGACCCATATACACATATGTAGATGTAACAATGTATCTAGAGGCACTGGCATTTTCAAATGAATAAACATGCACATCTATGCATACATGTTCACACACACACATATACATATGTATGCATTTCGGGAGTCACAATCAGTAATGCTTTGAACTTGACCGGGCACGAACCAAAACAGGAAAGCCAGAGGTCGAAAGGTCAATTTGCTTTGGGCAGGTGAGGGTTCCCTTCCTGGAAAGTGCGGGGTTGCTCAAGGTGAGCCGTTTCTGCAACTCTCAAAAGGCAAATGTGTTGCGAACCAGCAGGCAAACAATCCTTCTCCACAAGATTGCAGGATTGAGGGTCATACCAAAGAGGAACCTCAGAGCAAAAGCAATATGCTGATCCCCTGACACATTGGGAAATCCAACATGGACCCCGGAAAATGCTTCACAGAGAACCATCCACCGGGCCATCCAGGCAGATGGCCATGCCTGTGTGGCGTGGAGGAAGACCTCCTGCGCCAGCTCCAGGCTATCAGACTCGCAGGTCCTCGGGGACTGAAATTGTGTGGGAAGCCCCATGCAAAGAAAAAATACATACGTACAATGCGTACCTGTACGTACCCATGTAAACAACAAATGCACACACACACATGCTTGTATACATATGTAATGCCATGTGATGTAATGCAATACAATGCCATGTGATGTCATCTAATGCAATGAAGTGTAGTGTAGTGTACCGTCATGTGATGTACTGCAATGTAATGCAATGAAGTGTAGTGTAATGTAGCGTCATGTGATGCAATGCAATGCAATGAAGTGGATGTAATTCAATGCAATGCAATGTTGTGTCTATCCACACTAAACATTGGGCTTTGAATTTGTTGGGAACCAATACTTCCTACGTTCATAAGAGTCAGGAGGGTCAACAGCTGAGTCTTGCACGCCAGCTCATTCCGGTCAGTCAAGATGCATCATCCATTGTCGCAATTTTGCTGTGCCACTGACACCTAGCAAAGACCATGCAAAAAGGATTTGTCCGTGGCCCCCTTGCAACAAGTTGAAGGTCCAAAATGTTGTTCTCGCCTCTTGAGCAGACTGGCAACCAAAGAGGTTGCATTGCCTGTGTACCGCTACAATGTTTTTGCCCAAGTAGAACCCTCCAATTTCTCCCCCTGCGACCCGGGCCGGTCCTCTCCAAGGCGAAAGGGTCCACTTCCGCCGCGTCGAACATCGTGGTGCTTCCCAAATCGAGGCGCAGCCTCCTTCTTTCACGTGCGTAGGGTTTGGAGCTCTTTAGGGACCATTGCAAAAAGGAACGCCCCCCTTCTTCCCCCCCTGCCGGTCCAAGAGGATCTTGCCCCAGCAATGCTTGTTCTGGCCAATGGGTTCCAGGGCGCAACCGTCACTTGATATATGAGGACTATGCGGATAACCTGTTTAATGCTCTCTATGTCCCCTGATTGAACTGCCTTGAGCAAAGGATGCCCCAGGGCTGGCGATTTGCTCGGTGGCTCCAGCGGGTGTGGCCCATGGGCCGATACCCTGGGCCATTGAAGAGATGTTCCCAACACCGGGCATGTTTGTAATTAGCTCCTGACTTGCCCCAGTGGCCATAGGAACAACAGCCCTTGCTTTTTGTTGGCTGGTCTGGTGTGGTGTTGACACGGTACACCTTATCGTCTACATTCGTTTACAACACAGCGTTTGAACTGGCGTGCAGTGACTGCAGAGTAGCTTCGTGAACTGTTCGGACCTTTACCGAAAATTGGGAAGATCAAAGCAACCAACCAAACCCAACCAACTAATCAGCCAGCCGACCAAGCAAGCAAGCAAGCAAGCAAGCAAGCAAGCAAGCAAGCAAGCAAGCCAGCCGGAGGCCAAACACCCTCTGTCATTAATCAACCGCATGGACCAAAGCAGAACAAACCTAAAGGTCAAAAGGTCGGCTTGTGTGGGCTTGAGGCGCCTTCTTGCACCCTTGCAAAACACAATCCCCCTCCAAAAGGACAAGCACAGGTTTGAACCTAAACCATGTGCAGAAAGCAAGCCGCTCCCCTTGTAATAGCGGCTTTGCGGCACACAATGCATATGTTCAGTCCAAAGCTCAGCTTTGATGGAGCTAAGTACCAGCAAACCGCGCTGGAGCTCTCAGCTGAGGCCGGCACCGCTCGCTGCCTGGCACGGGGGCGGGTCCAAAGAGTGCCAAACTGTGCATGCCCTTTGAGTGGTGCGAGCAAACAGGCGCGTTCAAATCCTTTGCTGGTCACCAAGACGCCCCCCAAAAAATAATAATACATGCACCAGCGTGTACTAGGGATGCTTCCCAAAAATAAATACCAACACAACCTAGATACTCGCCTAACCACATCCCTAAAGCCAGCCTCAAGCCACTACTAAACCAGCCCCAAAGCTGAGAGCCAACCAAGCGACAGCTGCCAGCTCTACAAGAAAACTGGCACAGAAAGAGAAAAACACTCTTCCGAGAAATGCTTTTCTTCTACCATCCGATGTGACACTGGGGAATTACTCCTTCGGTGGCACAGATTTTGCTGACTTGCAGTGGACAGTCCCAGTCAGCCCAACCAGCTGCTCGAGGCTTTGAGCCTCTCCGCCACATAGCTTCCCTGGACTTCCCCCTCAAAACTGAGGCTGGGACGTAGAAAACGAATCATAATCATACTCCGCAAAATACTCCTCACAACCCCAGAGAAAACTTTGTGAGGCGAAAAGCACCCGACAACCTGGCGCATCACCAGGCACAGGTCTTGAGCCCGAGTCCCTGAGTGCCCGGCGCCGGAGGCGACTCCAGTCTCATACTCTCGGCCTCAGGTCAGGGCACCAGCGACACCTTCACACGCTTGTCACTTGCCCAGGTTGAAAGATCGGACGTCACCCTCCGCTTTCCAGACTGCCCAAACGACCTCCAACCGCTCCGTCTGAACAACGCCACGACCCAAACGCGATGCCAATGCAACGCCCAGCCGCGAGGCTCTGCAACAGCCGGCGCAGCTGCGCCTTTGGCTCCGACCTGAGGGAGTGGCATGCAGTTGCGTCTGGATGCGTCTGGTGGAGTTACTCTATTCACAACTGGGATGTTCAAACCACGAGGTGGGTGGGATTAGATATGATTGGGCTAACTGTGCCCTCGATGCACAAACCTCAAGTCAGGAAGGGACCCCCCCCATGTGAGGACCCTCATCATTCGTGAGTTCATCTTACCAGGATTGTCCAGGTGAGCTCGGTCGAAATCGTCCAGAAAGGATGCAACTGAGCTTAGCATTGCTCGCAATTCAGGACCCGGTCATGAATGTGTTCATCATGAAAAAGGGCCAAACTTAGGCCGCTATTTCCTCCAACTCAGGACCCCACCATGTGGGGATTATCAATGTTGCCCGCCTCACAACAGCCAACACATTTTAGCAAACACCCGGGTGGGAATGTAAAGCTGTTGGCCAACTGAATATTGTCATATCTTGGTCTGCACGAAAACAACATGTGTAAACAAAAACATGGGCTCTTGCAAGCTGGCCTGTTTCGTTCGCAGAGTTTCAGGGTGCAATCAAAGAAGTCGCTCCGCAGATCCCCCCCCCCCCCCGGAGGTGTTTGAAGGTCAGCCTGGTCGCATTCACCCCACTGCCTCAAACTTCCGGCCACAAGAGGATCTCCTGAACGCTGGAATCAACCCGCCCAACGGAATGCCATGAACCACTCCTTCAACCCCCCCGCACCCCCATGGCTCAAAGCCCAACCCAACCTTTTCCCCCAAATCCCACCACGGGCCGCACCCATTGTCGGGCTGAAAGCTGCTGATGACCTGCTTGCTGGAGGGGAGGGCTCCAAGAAGGGCATCCCCCAAACAACTGGTGAACGACCCACGAAGGCATGCAACCTTACCCGAGAAATTCAGTTCAAGCTGTTGCTCGCTCGAAGAATTGGAGCAATCTGAGGCTCTCCTGGCCCAAGCTTGAACAAGTAGCCTCATTGACCATGGAAACCCAGCTGCAGGGCTAGCTTTTAGCCGTTTCGTGGCGAGATCCTGCGAGGCACAGCCATGGCATCTGCATTTGGTGCAGCACGCCAACCTCGTTCCAATGAGGACCTCTTGGCCGTCTTGGGTAGAAAAAAGCCCCTTGCGAGAGGCTTTTTGCATAATAGGCTATTTAGGGGGGGGCAATTTGACGTTCAACCCAAGAAACAGTGCTGGTCTTTGGACCGACGGAAGTCAAACTGTTTGCTATTTAATAGGGAAGGGAGCTCCCAACAGTGAATGAACCTGCCGCTTCCCACGCCAAAAAAACAGGGCTCAGTGTCACACATGCCTTGCCAGTCTTCGTTCTAGCTTCTTTGTGTTTGTGAATGGCACACGAAAAGCAAATCCTTTTGGTTTCCCTTCCGCGGGACTCGCGAAGCGCCTTCTGGGCAAGGTGATCTGGCAGCTTCGCCATGTACTGTCGCAGGTCCTCCTCCAAGCACCTGCGAAGGGGAGGGAAGGGCGGGAGATCTGTTTGCCGCCGATTTTTTCGGACCAGTTGACATACCAAGTTGCAACAAATGGAGAAGCCCAATCTACTTTTCTAAGAAGGCAGTTTCAACAGACTAACCTGGCTGGGACAGGGGGCTTCGACTTTTCAGACCGCTGTTTTTCCGCTGCATGCACACAACGACTGCAACAAACGTGTCAAGTCAAACTTCCAGCAGGACACCGTTGGCTCACAACTCAGGCCAATCCTTTTTAAAGACCTCCTTTTCAGGACACCCTCTGAAGGGCGGCATAAAATTGAAAACCTGCGCAGGGGCGCCTTCCCTGCTTCGATTGCGGGCTTACAATCCAACAGAAGAAAAAACAAATAAACGATGAACTCACTTTAGCCAACCAAATTCAAGGCCGGCGTGCGGATTCGCAGCCCTCAGTCCAATCGGGCTGACCGAAGCCTCAAGCATAGGATTCTGGTGTTGGAGGGTGTGCAAGAACGATTTCCGCATTTCTTTGAGGGTACCCTTTTCACCTTGCTTTGAGAGAAAGTAAGAGGAGAACCACCACCATTTTGACACGTACCCATATGCACATGCCGGCGCACGTGCACATAATTCCCCCGCGTCCACACGGTTTTCAAGCCCAAAATAATAGAATCCTGCACCAGACAGGCGGTTTGCAACATGCCGGCTTGCGCCCGAGGGCTCGCGCCCGACTCACTGGCAGACCTTGGCCCAAGAGCGAAGGAGGCAGAGCCTTACCCACAGCCTGCCCTTTCTAAATGCACTTGAAGAGATGAGTCGCCGCTACTGTTGCCAATCTATGTACGCATGAAACTTGCAATGAATACGGGGAAATACTGCCCCTCAAAGTGCCTGTTTGACGAATGCAAACGCAAACGAGCCTTGGCGCCCTTTTTCTCGTGTGGCACTTGCGTTGTCTTCAACTTTGCGGATTCGCGGGTGAGACGCGACTTGGCAAAACAAGTTTTGGAAGGCCCCGCTGAACTGAAAACAATGCAGAATGTAGGGAACATCTTTCTTAAAAGGGAAGTGATGGCAAGCTCGCAAGAGGACCTACTGATCTACTGCACAAACCAGGCCCGACGTATGCGCGGCCGAATGCGGGCAAGGGGCAACCCTGGTCGACTCAAGCATGTTCCAGGCTCACCGAGTACACACCAAGCAACTCTCATCTTGAGCTGTTGTATACCTCACTTGCCTGAATATTTCAGATGATAGATTATATAAACTTGAGTGGTTTGAAGCCAACAGGTCAGCATACAAGGACGCATCGCTTTGGGCAAGTGAGTGAGCTAAGAGTCTAAATTGTTTCTGGCCTTTCAGATATCTTCTTTGACGGAACCAACCTCAAATTCAAGGCTTGCTTGTTTGGCGTGAGGAGAACCGGTCTACATAGTATCACAGGAGGACTTTTAAAAAGACTTGAAGTAGGTGATGTTTTATTTTTAATAACCGGACATTTTACATGAACCACGGAAGTGTCTATGCTGGAAAGACGAGGATTGCTTCAAGTGGGAACATTCACAGCTCCAAACGAATTAAACTTTAACTCAATACACAAGCAGCCTTTTGGCTTGGAAACCAACCGGGCGCAGCCCACTTGGCAAACTCTGCTGGTGTTTTTTTCTGTCGGAAACATTCATTGAAGGCTGCGGCTCATCTATTCAAGTGCCATCCAACTCCTTCAGAAAGTCGTCAACCTCCGCCAGCGTGTCCTGGCGGAAACCAAGAAAAGGTTCTCTCAGAATCGGTGGCTTCATGTTGGTGTTCCAGACCGAAGACGCATAGACGCCACAGTCACTTGGCATCTCTCCCCAGCAGCCTACGAACTTTGTTTAGCGCCTTCCTGTCCTTCGTGGGAAGCACCTGATGGACAACAACCCTCCCCCCACCAAAAGAGGCAGCTACTTCAGGCGAAAAAGCCTGACATGTTTTGTTGCAAGGATCTGGACCTGAATTCAACCGATACCCAGAGAAGGAATCGCCATTATTGAATTTGAAGGAGGGTTGCCTCCCTCCCCAGTTTGATTTTTAAGTGGCAGAATGTACGGCTGAATGCGTAACAAAACCCGAACTGAACTGAGGCATTGACAACCCCTGATGCGCAATGTGCACTTTCAAATGTTCGCCCTGCAAGGGTTCAATGCAGGAACAACAGCCAGTATAATTTAAAGATTCACTGATTAGCTTATCAAAGAGTGACAGCCGCAAAATCAATCAAGCCTCGAAGCCCCAAAATCCCCTGCCCAGAGACCCGTAGGCTTTTGTAACCGAACTCAGCCAAGAACAGGACAAGCCGACAGCTATGAGAAGCCCCGGCAACCTGCCACTGCCCCTGGGCTGGTTTGACAAATCTTTGTCAAACCAGCAAATGCGAAAGTTACGATTTCAGGCTCAGGCAACACTAAGAATGCCATGGGCCCCATGCTGTAGGCCTCCGGACGGCTGCCTCAATCGGAGGTTTACAATTTCCTTCCCACTTCACTCTCCGAGCGGGCATTCTCGCTCCACAGCATATCAAATTGCAGCACTTCAGAACGGACAGCACCCTCATCACGAAACACACAAATGTTTGTGCCACCCCTTGCCCGTATGCATCTGTCTTCTAGCCCGACACATGTTTGTTTCAAGCGTAGGCACATGTGTTGCACGCATGCACATGTGAGTTGCGTGTATTGCCCTTGGGGGATTTCATGAACAAACACTTGCAAAACAAACTGCCACTCTTCGCCCCGTGCCGTCCCTCCTTGGCTGCTGCCTTGGACTCGTACCCTCCTTTTGAGCCTTGCGGCAGCCAGGCCCAGAACATGGTGCTTGGCCATTGCTATTGCCCCCTGGCCAAAAAACGAGACACCTTGCATCGTGAGTGCCACACTTACAGGCAACAAAATTTCAGGTCCAAAGACAAAAGGCATCCAATCGGGGCCAGCCGGCGAGGCACAAAGCGGCCGTTGAGATGGACATATTGATTTGGACAGCAATTGCCTCAAAGTGTTCACATACTGCGAGCTTGCGAGTTGCCAACTGAGTGCTCTGCGGCAACATTCCACCACCAAAGACCCGCTAGTCAATTCCTAAGACACGCTTGTCCCTTGGCCTCGACAACAAAGGTTAAGCTTTTGGGACCATGGCCAAAGATGAAGTAACCCTCGAAGAACAGCACTGTCAAAACTGGGCTTGCCGCAGAACCCGGTGAGGGACAGGCAAGCCTTTGGGGACATATCCATCAAATCTCCCTGTCAACTGCTCAAGCGCCAGGTTCACCGGTCACAACGAGCATATCCAACTTTATCCCTGTGGGGGAAGCCACTACGAAGGGAAGACCCCTTCAGAGACCAGGGCAAATTAGAGGTTGCCTTTGAAAGTAAACTGCAGCCAAACCTCTATGTGTGTCTATGCTTTTGTTGTACCACTCAAACGATCTTCCTAAACAAGTAGAACGTTAAGAAACTGGGGTCTCATGCAAGTGTGGAAAGGGTTCGTAACAGCTTCGCTTGGCAAATGCTACCATGTCCTTACAGAACTCCAGGTAGCTCCTTAGCTCCCTCTTAAAAAAGCCAGCTTGGATACCCCCAGCTCCCCAGCGGCTCCCTTCCAACCAGCTATGCCGCATCTGCCTCAAGCCCTCGCCCGCCGCCTGCGGCAGAGGCGGAGGCGGAGGCGCCGGCGCCCGAAAGCACGGCGTCGAAGTCGCCTGGGACCCACACCCTCCCCGGACGGGTTAAGCTGCTCTACCCAAAACCTCTAGCCAGAAATGAAGCTGGCTTCGTGCCGCACTTCTTCCGAATAACAAGGAAAACCCAAGATTTGTAGCTGGGCATGAGAGATTCTCCAGCAGGACCTGTACCTTTACTTGCCGCAGGCCGTTGCAAGAGGGAATCCGCCAAGAAGAGAAGGGCGAAAAGGACGGGAAGGACGCCGGGAGCGGGTAACAACCCGACTCGCTACGAGACTGGCCTACACAAGCGTTTGCAACAAATGAACAGGCGTGTGCGATGGTCAACTTTTCTCGGACCTCACAAGAAGTCTGAGCTTCAGCCCCAAGCTAGAGGTTCGCCATGCATCCTACATGAAAGTATACTTGTATCTCAAAATAATGGCTGCAGAGGGAAAATAGAAAGACACCCAACCAATTCAGGGTCCGCTACATTGAGAAACAGTCACATGGGAGCATGTACCGCCTCACTCTAGTCTTCTAAACTTTGCAGGCCGCGGTGGGAGGGGTTGCAAACATACAGGACATGTGCCTTGGGACTGCAGCCAAAAGAAGATGATCCTAAACCTCAGACAGGCGAATTGTTGATTCTGGAAACAGCCCCTCCTGCTTTGACCAGAAGTTTCAGTCGCTCTTGTCCCCACACCCTCACCAAAAACAGCTGAGATCCAAGATGGCTACCTGCGCGACCGGCACGCTCGACTGTGGCCGGCCAATGGCAAACACACTCACGCACATGTTCGCCGCCAAGTGAGACAGCAGAAATGTTCAAGCAAACAACATCCAACCTTCCTCCCTCCCCTCCCTCCCTCCCTCCCTCCCTCCTCTCCCGCCCTCCCTCCTCTCCCTTCCCTTATCTCTCCCTGCCCCTTTTGTTAGCCAGGCCGCTGAAGAGGTTGTCGATGTCTGCCGCCGCCTGGGGCTCCTTGATTCGACGCTCACTGCCCACAGGGAGCTCCCATGAGCACATTAGTCAAGGAGCAGCCAAAATGAACTGTAGGACACACTGTCCCAGTGCTGCAATCATAGGGCGCCATCCATTACAAACTGGCGTAAAGAGTCGTGTCCATCCACAGTAACTCTCCCCTGGCTTCCGAGTGTTTTACTGTTCTAGGCAGCTGCTACTCCGCAGATTGGCACGGAACCAAACGGCAAATGTGCAAAGGTCCCAGTTGAGGTCAGCTGAGGTACCGCCTTGGGCGCCGCCTTGGGCACCGGTTTCTTTTCCGGCGCCGGCGCAGGTTTCGGCGCGGGCGCGGGGTCAGGAGAGCCGGCCTGGCACGGCTCAAAACGGCCGTCTCCCATGGATTGTTCCAAAGACCCTGTCAAGGGTGATATGTTCAACCCTTGCGAGATTGAACATCCTGAGGCTTGGCGCAAGCCTGTTCAAGTAGCTGTTTCCCAACTAGAACGAAACAATAATTGAATTTGATGCCTCATATTGAGTGAACCTTGAAATGCAACATGACGCAGACAAAGGTCCCCTACCAGTGATCGGAACAAGCGAATACATGTCGCTGACAAGAAGAAAAACCGGACCAAACATGGGTACATGTCCAATCTGCAGGCATCATTAAATGATAACTCCAAAGAGGGAAAACCAGGAGCACCTGAGACGCAGAATGCCACCCAGCGGAAGAATGAATCCCGCCTCCCCATTGGCAGTCTGCTTGGGCTGCGCCTCCTGGATTTTTTTCCGGGCAACCGTGTGATAGCTGATAACATATGTTTAGGCACCCAAATAAACATCGGCTAAACCCTCCTGATGTTGGTGGAACTTGGCGCCGCAAAACAATCCGTGTTTCTGGTCTTCGGTGACTGCTGCTGGGTCTTGGCCCTTGGATGTCTGTCTGAAGTTGTTGGCAGTTGAGCTGCCTTGAGATGCATTGAATGCCTCAGAATCAATAATGGGCCATTTCCAACCATTGTCAAAGACGCCTCTTCATTGCAACCCTAGCTGGCCACATTCAAAGCACCTGTTCGAATTCCCCGGATGAGTTCAGATGTTCAGGGAAAGGTGACGGCCTCAGCTGTTCAGCCCTCGTTGGGTACTGCTTTGGCTAATCAATCCGCAAGGTTCCCGCTAAGCCATTCCCAGTTCCAGGACTGGGCGCTCACGGCTTTGCACTTGCAGGACAAACTGGAAGGCCTTCCCAACGACTCATTTCCCAAAAAACGTGTTCCTTGCAGAAGTGGGAGAAACGCCCCGAATTCCCACAGGCACGCCAGTCAGTTACCCTTGACCCTTGCCTCCTTCTGGGAGGCCTCGCTGGCACCTGGGTCCCAAGGCTGATCTCCAGGGTTCCACTTTTTGGGACATGCGCTTGAAAAGAACGATGGGGCCGCCTGGAAGACAGGATTCGAACATGAGACGCTCTGGTTCCGGGTGTTCTCACGTTTCAGAGGTCCCGAAGTACGAAACTTCCCTCTCTCAGCCACGCGTGGCCAAATGGATTCACCACAAAAGCCATCTGTCTAGAGTCTTCTGGAATCAAGATGTCAACCTGGGGTGAGTACGCAGCCTTGACTGAAACTTGGAGGCCAAGCAAAACATGGGAGCCTATTTTCGAGGATCCATTTTGTTCTTGATTGGCTTGTTCAATTTCGAGGGGTTGACACTAAACGGGTGTATTCTCCTCAAGTCTAGGCTGTGCTGTTGTTGAAGAGATCTGGATTCTCCAATGCAAACAAACAAACAAACAAACAAACAAACAAACAAACAAACAAACAAGCAGGCAGGCAGGCAAGCAAGCAAGCAACCAACCATTTTGAAAGCCATCATTTTCCTAACAATGGTAAAACCCACCATTGAATTTCAGTTTGGTGGCCCCGCGGTGGACATCATTTGCCCGGAAACTCACGCCCTCCCCAATGATTTACAGGGTCCCACCGAGAGCAGGTGGAATGGGCCTGCCCACCAAACATCTGCAATCAAAATCCCTCAACGCCCAAAACGCCCAGGCCTGCGCTAGGAGTGGGCGAAGGTTCCCGCGGCGTGCGACCCATCAGAGTGGCCTAGTGAGGCAGTGGCGCCCTTGGAAACCAAAGGAGGCGGCGATGACCGCTGCGCTCTTCACATCCGCCCCGGAATGGACTGGCACTGGCTCTACTTGGCCGCCTCCCTCTGCCGGCAGTTGCTTGCAGGCTTATAGCTGCAAAACACTCCCAGGGGGGTTGGAACTTCCTCACTGGTGTTCTGCCTTCCCAAAGGCTTATTGCCCTTTTAAGTTAAAAGGGGGTTCCTTGCACCACAAAGTGTGGATAAGACCCCAGCCGACGCACATCCGAGAAGTGGCGGAACGAAATCGAACGGGCCACGCGTGAAGCCTATGCCCCGCCTCCAACGCCTCGATGTCTCCGTCGCTGGCGTCTCCATCCGCCGCAGCGGCAGAGGACGCCGCGGCTTCCTGCGCCGCAGCCGCGCGCCGCTGCTCCTGGGGGCATGGGAGGTGTGATCTGCGCAAGGAACCTCCCAAAATCATATGATGGCGGTCATGGGAGGGTTCGGGTGCTGTAATTATCAAATTCAGAGCTAGTAGGGGAAGGCATTGCAGTCGCATGGTGGCAATCAGCGCCGGGGTCATGACCATCGCTCCCCTTGCTATCACTCTGAATCAGTGTTGAACACAAGATGACAGTTGACATGGAACCAAAACCACAGCCACTCATTCTGTGTCAATCATCAACCAGCCACTACATGTTCCCGGGGTACATGCACACAATTGAATGGGTTTGCGTGCACATCTATGCAAGCGTATATACATGTGTATCGTAAGTATCTAAACACATGCATATGCATATGCATATGTGCACATATATCCATATGTACTTGTGTATATATATGTATATATATGTGCATATGTGTACGTGTAAATTTCTATGTATGTATGCATGCATGCATGCATGCATGCATGTATGTATGTGTGTGTGTGTGCGTGCCCGCTACACCGGTGATTTATCGTGGCTATATACCCGTTTCTCCGAGGGGCAGGGTAGTGAGGGAAGTGGAGGCAAGGAAATCCCTCTTGGCACTCTATGCAAGTCTTCAGAGGAGTAGCACATGCCATGGATTTCAGATTCAACGCCTAGGAGATTTGCAAGCCTTAAAATAAAACCACCCTCTTAACCAAAAATGCACCATTTGAGATCCCCGGCATCTCCTCTTCCGCTCGCAGCTTCTGCGAGACCTGCCGCGCCTTCTCAAAGAGCTGAGCCTCCTCTTCCGCCAGCTGCTGCAACTCAGCGAGGCTCGAGGCGATTGGTGAGGGCTCAAGGGTCCCAAATTTGGCCATCATGTGGGTCTTTTATGTGGAAGCTGACCTTTTGGTGGACATCAGAAATGCGATGCATTTGCCCTCCAACCTGCCAGGGCGGTACGCATTTGGACAAAAACACATGCCCTAGGCTGGGTCTTAGGTCACGGGGGAATCAACTCCCACTCGCTCAGCATCCCTGGTCCAAAGACTGGGGTTACCCCAACAAGCAACCACAACAGGAGCCACGATGGCAGAATGGCAGAGGGCTCTGAGTTGCTCAAACATTCGAAGGTCCGAAATCAAAGGCTAGGTGAAGCGCGCGATCCCACCCCTTGGCACTGGCGCTTCTTTCTGTAGACGTGCTCACCCCTGTACATCCATTAGGTGCATTAGAGTATGGGGGTATGGGGATGCACCGCAGACTCATCACAAGGGTTGTACTGAAGTCGCCTTCTCCTCCTCCTCCGCCGAATCTTCGTTCTTTGGTACCTGCTGGCGGTCGCCACACTTCAAAAGAAGATCACTGAACCAGTGAGCCGCTCGTGAGCCTCTTGGGGTGATGGGTCTTTCAACCATTGCTGAGCAGGGGGTGGAGATTCCAGTGCCGCAAAACTTTTGTAACAGAAAGGAACTAGTGCGCAGTTCACTGAACTGGGCTTTGGGGAGAGCCCCCAAACGTGTGGGTGTTGTCAGAGCGCTTCCCGGTGGTTTTACCAAGGCCCGTGCCAAACAGTAGACACCGAATAAAATGGCCAACTGGGGTGCAGGGGGGTCGGTCGGGCGCTGCTCAATTCTCGGTGCGGCGTGTCCGCTTCCTTTACCTTCCCTTCAAAAACCACCCAAATCTCAAGGGCTCAAGATCCCCAATCCTCTGTAACACTGCAGTGGGTCAGGGAATCCGGGGAATACGGATGCGGATTGAGCCCAGGCAGTTCGGGCAAAGGTGGCACTTCGCCGCTTCGCCTCCTGGAAGACGAGGTCCACAAAGAAGTCCTCCCCGAAGCGGCTGTCCCCAGCTGCCAGGTCCAGCTCCGACTTGGCCAGCTGCAGGCCTCGGTCTTGTTGCAGGAAGCTGGCTGGAAACAAGCCTGGCCCCGTTTCCCACGTTTCTGGCTGTCTCCTGCTCAGGGGAGAGTTTCAGCCGATTCAGCTTGTGCCGTGGAGCTGGGAGACGGGGGGACGGCGGGAGAGGGGAGGGGGAACTGCCTTCGTTACAGGCACTCAACCATAGCGGCTCTTGCGGCAGCAGGTTTCTACAAGGCTGTGAACTTTTTGGAAATTCCAGCGGGGCCACCTCCTGAGGGAAAGGTCTTCAAACTTGCTTCCAAGACCAAAAGGCTCCATAAACTTGTACGTTCCAAGTTTGGTTCGCCTTACTTCACGCTCTGAGAGGAGATGCAGGGAGAGCTCCTTCGGAGGGGTGCAGGCAACACAGACAAAGCTCCCCCCCTTTCTCGGGCCCGAGACCTTCCTTGATGAAGCCCGTGTGGAAGGCCAGTTTGAGCGCTTTCTCGGTTTTGGCGCTCAGGTACAGGTGGGACACCTCCACATGGTCTGGACTGCTCAAAGTCTTAAAGGCACTTCAAAGACCCATGCGTCACGCTGTTCAACGCTGGGGTTTCAAAAAATAATGCTCAACAACTGAATGGCAAAATTAAACAGACAGAAGCGAATCCATACAGGAACCATCCCACAGCGATGTTAGGAAGGAGCCACGCTCAGAAGGAACAATTGAGACCACTGGGCCTAGTTGCACCCACTTGCTCGGGGAGGCCCAAAAAACTGATTAGGTATATGCTTTGGGCAAACCTTGTTGGCCCTTTAGATTGGTATTGGTGGAATCTGGGAAAAAAGGGAAACCCTTCATCGGGGGGTACTCC